AATTCTATAATACACCTGTTCCATTTTACAGTTTGGCTGTTCTGATGAAAGAATAGGTTTCATTCATTTGTTTGTTCAACCAGGAAGCGTCTACTGACCACTGAATGAGACAGAATAATGATAAGAGTCAGAGCCTTTCCCTTCACCTTGGGTCTCCCCACAGTGATAAGAATGTCTTTTATGTATGGGTCTCAGTAGTGTCCATCTACTAATTGATGGTTGGTTCCTGAAGCAAGTGTAGCCAGTGGCAAGAGAAATAAAGGTGTTAGTCCTCTCCAGTCCTAGTCTAGTGTCTCCAACCTTTATAAACTCCCTTTCAACTTAGCAAAGGGGTACAGACACAGGCTGCAGAGGGATTAAAAGCTGTTATTGCCTTTGTAATGCCCCAGTCTTTCATCATTCCTTTTTCCATTCTCCTTTCCATCTCTCTTTGCTTCTCCCATAAACACTCATGGTGCCTGTTATATGCAGGTATTGACATGTCAGACACTGAATGTATTATGTAGATTAAGACGTGGTTGCTGTCCCTCAGGTGAGATTTTGGAGGGAGGAATAAATTGTAATGAGGAATGAAGGGCTCCTGAGGACACATGAGACCGCACAGCTAGCTCCACATGTGTTATTTCTAGACTCAGTACACTTGTTACAGTCTCTGATGATATGCTTTAACAATTGGCTCTCAAAAGAAAAAAAAAAAAGCTTACATTTGTAGTTTTTGCCTGTTTTCATGGTGTAAACACTATTACCACAGCTATTTTTGAGCTACCAGTATGAAGTCACTGACTACAGATTTGGGAGGAAATAAAAGAAGTTTGGGCAGCAGCAGATTACTTTACAGTGTTTCCTTGCTCACAAGCATAAATACTAGTAAGAGTAGTGGAGGTAATAAGGGTTTTATTTTGGGGGGATGCTAGGTCAGTGGATTACCACTGAGCTATACCTCCAGTCCAAGTGATGGGTTTTGAGTACCTTCATCTTAATATAATTTATTTAGTTGTAAGTTTAAGTAATTTAACTTTTAATAATGACTTTTAAAACTGCTTGAAAACTTAATAATTAGCTCTTGAGGACCTAGCTCTTTCCCACATGCTGGTATTATACTGGGTACTGTGTATCATGGTTATAGTTTTTACAGCCTAGTGTGTCCTCCCACCGTTTTATAGACTGTGACTTCTATGTCTTTGTGTCCTCAGAGCTCCATTCTCCAAAGAGCCTTGAGTGTCATTAATTCATTGAGTTACAATGTTTCATCTGCATTTGTGTATGAAAATCCTTTATTTTGAACATTATTTAAGCCCGAGGTTGAATTTTTGTTTCTGTACAGGATAGAAAACAGATGAACACATACATTATCAGATGGTCTCTTTGTGAAGCCTTTGTACAAATAATGCATATTACAGATGCTTATGGACTTGAGTCATTAGCATAACATATGCTCCTGCTCAAAAATGGCAAATGTGCCCCTGTTCTAAAATAGCTCGTGCTCGGCATTTGCATCCTTATCTCATGCTCAGGGTCTGATTATGGCAGAGGCACAAGGACTGCCATGCCAAAGGATGTGTTTCAATGCCAATTGCTTTTGCCTGACCCAGACAGGACTGTTCAGAGCTGGTGCATTATTTCTGTCATCGCCATGGCCACCATTGCCCTGTCCTCATCATCATTACCAACAGTCACTGTTTATCACGGGCTATCATGTGCATCTCACTGTGACAGACACCATGCAAATGAAGTGGCACCAACGATCTCTTGAAGGTCAGAGCTGAGATGCAGAAGCAAACACATCCCTGCCATTCCAGTGCAGGAGACAAGGTGGGTAATGGGGTGGGACCCTAAAAGAATGACCCTACAACTAGGCAGGGAGCGGGGGCACAGTGGGTGACACAGGGGGGAAGAGGCCAGTTAGTGGAGAGCCTCAAAAACTCTTCAGAGTGTGAGTGGAGCTAAGGTGAGATGCTCAGCCAGATAGGAGGATGAGAGGGAGAGAGAGAGACAGAGAGGGAGAGAGGGAGGGAGGGAAAGGGGAGAAGGAGAAAGAGAAAGAGAAAGAGAGAGAGAGAAAGAGAGAGCCAGAGGGAGAAAGAGGAATGACAGAGGGAAAGAGACAAAGGGAGACAGATACGAAGAGGGAGACAGGGAGACATGGAGGCAGAGACAGAGATAATGGAGAGAACAGAGGGTGGAGGAGTGACGAGAGAAAGCAAAAGAGTGAGGAGGCAGAACAGAAAGCATAGAAAGTGGAAGGTGGGGAGATGGGCTTTGAGGTGACAGAGTGAAGGAGTGAGGAGACATCTTCAAGCTCTACTGGGTATCTCCCCCTTCTCCATTGTACCCCTCTATCCCATCTCTAACTACCTGGTCACCAGATCTGGGGAAAAGGAACTAGGTGAATGGGAAGAGAGGATGAAACTACTGACTTTGAACATACTTGCACATGTGGATTAATTCCCAGGCAAATTCAGGGAGAGTTCTCATTTCTTCTGGTTAGAGCCAGGGACATTACAATTTTTATTTCTCTTTACAACACAGTCTAGAATCTTCCTCCATGTAAGACACCATTTAAAAATCCCTGGAGGGGATGCAACGTGGACTTTTATTTTTCAAGGTGATTTTATTAAAAAGAGAAAGACCTGACTTTAGAGCATTACCATTGAGAGACCTCCAACAACAAACACAGGGCAGGTTTTGTAACTGTGTTTAATTTACTGTCTATTGATGCTTAAGATCCCAGAGACAACAAAATTTCATTTCTGTAGTGTTAACTTCATTTTTCTGGGAGTCAGAGAGTTAATTTAGAAACTCAAATGCTATCTTAGGGTACCAAGAGAATTTCTGTTAAAGTGAATATTGCTGCTTTTTTCCCCCTTTCACTCCATGCATAGATGAAAACATTACAAAGGAGGAATGCATTTTCTTCTGAAAGATGAGCTATTTGGTGACTATGGGCTGCTCCCTTTGATACAGAATTCAGTGCTTTGATTTACTGTCATTAAGTCATCTCCTTACTATACTGAACCAGGAGCAATCAAAGCCACGGATGTAAATGGCGCCATTTTTTCCTGTAGTCACTTGGTAATTTCCCATGAGAATCTGGAATCACTGCTGTCAGGGGCTGATGTTTTCTCTGCCCTGTAGCCCCAGGAAGCCTCCAACAGGCAGCCGAGGGGTGGAGCCTGAGGCAGGGGTAGAAGGAAGAAGTCCCGAAAGGCACCCTCTTCCCTCCTGGGAGCTGGGATGCTGGCTTTTTCCCTGGGTTCTGCACTTCCTGGCATTGCCTGATGTTCCTGCCTTGGACCTCATACACAACTAAATCCTCTTCACCCCTGGGCTTTGCGTTCCCCTCTCCAGATGAAAAGCAGCCAGTGGACCAGTCCTTGAGGTCATAATAAGTAAATAAATCCATTCAGTTCATCCACAAATATTTGTCGAGCATATAAGATGTGCCTAGTTTTGTATAGGTACTTGGGGGTGATTGCATTTTAACTGGGATTACAGGAGACAGCTTTGCCCACCCCCATTTTCAATCCCCAGATTCTGTAGTGGTGGTGGGAAGCTGAGGACCTCACAGGTACAAAATGCTTTCTGTATTAGCTTGCAATTGCCTTAGGTGATGTCATTGGGTTTTCCTGGGTCCTTATTTTATTTTTTTATGGTACTGGGGTTTGAACTCAGGGCCTCATGCTTGCTAGGCAGGTGCTCTACCACTTGAGCCACTCCACCAGCCCTCCTGGGTCCTTAGGCCATTTTTCCCCTCTTCCCCAACCCTTCTCCCTTCGCATCCTGTGAGACTAACCTCATCACCTGACTAGTTTCAGCCACAAATATGTCTATGTAGGTGGTTTAGGGGCACCAATGTCATTAGAATTTGGAGGCGTATCCTTGCTTAGAGACCGTATTTGCATAAAACGCTCTGTTTTTATTTGGCTTATCAACTATAGATTAATACATTTATCAAAGTTTCCAAATGATCATTAGATTCACTTTTTACCTAGTTTTTTTTTTTTTTCCTTTGCAGTACTGGAGACTGAACTGATGGCCTCACTCTTGCTAGGCAGGTGCTCTACCACTGGTGCCACATCCCCAGGCCTTTTGCTTTTAGTCTGATTTTTAGATAGGGTCTTGTGTTAACTTTGCCTGGACTAGCCTCTGACTGAGAGCCTCCTACCTCCACCTCCTGAGTAGCTGAGACCACAGCTGTGCACTACCACACCTGGCCCTTTGCCCAGGTTTTTTATGACCACCTTATCATGTTGTTATTGTCATGAGTGGCTTTGGGGGAGTGTATGGCTCTTTCAGAAAAACTTAAGCTGCTGTTCCGCCTCCTGCCAAAGCGTACCCTACAACTATTTTCCAAACTTTGACTTGAGGTTGGTGGGGGATGGAGGGTGGGTCTTGGGCATCACAATGAGTTTGAGGAAAGTGGTGTGGTTTAGGCTAGCTTGGAGCCTCCTTCCAAATAGCAGGTGCCTTGTGAGGGGGCTGAGAGGGGGCTGCCCTGTCTGCAAATTCCTCCTCCTCTTGTTCAACCTGGTCTCTGAGACCAGTAGAGGAGACTTTTGAAAATTCTCCTAAAAGGAAGGTATCTTTGGGAAATAGGAGAACAGCAGAGTCCCACTTAGCTGAAGGTTAATGTCTTTCCTTAGGCAATTGTCAGGCTTTAGTGTAAAGTAAGTGGCCTTATTTCAAATGCTGCCTTTGCTTCTCAATCAGTTCTGTAGCTGGACTTAACAATGACCAGGTATTTTATGTGTTTGCAGCAGGAACTTGACATTGCTAGGAACTTGCTTGCTCAAGGCACTTTTGCCTCAAGGACATGGAATGAAAAATGTGCCTTGGTCATTGAAGACAGGCACTGCCTTAGGCATCTAGCCTCTTAATGGTATGTGATGTGTTTCTCTGACTTCATTCAGGACCATGAAATGGCTTGGAGCCTTCTGTTTGTCATTCTCACAGAGGACCACAACCGACTTTTGGAAGTAGATAGGTAATGAGGCTCTTACCTGGCGATCTTGTCTGTGCAGGACATTGTGACTAGCTGCTCCCCTAGCAGGATGCCGTCCCATGTCTGTACTGAGCTGGGGCCCCGGACAGGGACTGTCCCCTCCCCGGACTCAATCTTGGTGCGCAGGTGCCCTCGGAACTTCCTGACGATGTGTTTGCTGCTGTTCACTAGGAAAGAAGAGGTGGTGGTGAGAGGTGGCAGGGACACTTGTGAAGAGACACAAGGGTTCTGTGGGTTTGCTGTGGATTTGAGACGTGAGAGAGGAGGAGGGAACTGACAGAGACCATGTCAGAGGGCCTTGGAGGGAGCTGAACAAGGGGGCAGGTTTTGGAAGTAAATGCCAGAGTGGGAGGAATTTCCTTATTTCAAGAGTGACATGGTTAAGAGCTGGGGTCCTGCACAATGCTGCTTTCCCTGGGTCAGCTGATTGTGCTATGAAGGGCAGAGAGTAAACATCTCAGAAACTTTGCAGGCCATACTGTCCTGTTACCATTGCCCAACTCTGCCACAGAAGCACAAAAGCAGCCTTGGATGACAGGTCAATGAATGAGCCTTGTTGTGCACTGAAACTTGAACATATAATTGAACATATAATTTTTACACATCACAAAATGCAGCTGGTCCTCCCTGTCTACCAGCTATGCATTTGTGGATTCAATCAACCAAAGATAAAAAATATTTGGAAAAAGTTTGTATCTATACTGACTTATTCCCTAAACATGGCAGCAAAACAGCTATTTACATTGTAGTAGGTATTACAAGTAATCCGGAGATGATTGAGAGCTTATGGGAGGACATGCATAAGTTATATAAATGCAAATACTACATCATTTTATGCAAGGGACTTGAGTATCCTTGGATTTTTGTATCTGTGGGGAGTTTGGGAGCCAGTTTCCCATGAATACTGAGGGATGTCTGTATTATTATTTTCACCTTTTTCCACCATTTAAAAACTGCAAAACCATGCTTATCTTTTAGACCATATAGGAAAAGGTGCTGGGTGGGTTTTGACCCTTACATTTATTTATTTTCTTTCTTTAAAAAGATTTTGTGTATTAAGTCTGGATTATATTGTACTAGAGAAATGGTTAACTCCTTTGAATACAAATTATGCATAAAAGAGCACAGTGATTCCAACATTTACATACATACAATAAGATAGATGAATGCTGAACACTTTCTTGAAAAAGTTTCTGTTTAAGTTTTGGAAGGTGTGTAGATAGAGTTTCTCCTTCATTTGCTCTATAAAGTGCTGAATAGTAGACACTTGAGTTTTTATGGGAACTTTCTCCTACAGAGATTAATTTCCAGGGTGCTTTCTTATTGGTTCTAAGAGCTGAAGTTCTTTCAGCACACTTTCATAGTACCTAAAGGCTATCTTTTGGGAAGAAGGGTTGCTGCACTTCCTGGAGAAAGAAACTTTTGGGGGTGTTTCAGACAGCTTTTTCACCCTAGAACTCACCAGATACCTAATGAGATCCAAGTTGGGTTTGTCTGTAAGTGATCCTTAGAAGGAAGAACCAAGGGGAAAACAAGTGCCCATAACTCCCCAGGTAGAATGACATTCTCTCTGGGATTGGCACTGGGAATTGTATGACAATGCTGATAGTGTGATAACGATGACGGTGCAGACAGTAATGGTGATGACAGTGGTGATAAGGACAGTGATGTTGATAGAGGTGGTGAGAATGATGGTGACACTACCGCTGCTGGTAATGATGAGTATCATGGTGGCATGATTGTGGATATGGCAATGATGATGGGTAATGGTGAGTATGGTGATGAGGATAACGGTGTTGACAATGATTATTAGTATGATGGTGATAATGTAGATGTGATGACAATGATGATGATGGTGATGACAAATTAAACATAAAATAATTCATATGACTCAAAAAATGCTTGAACAAACCTTGAGTTTAACCTGAGTTTTTATGTCTTCCAGGTGGAGTATTTGTTAAATATCAGCTTTCTGTGGCAAGCAGAATGGGGAGTGGAGGAGCCAGCATATCTCACAGCTTCTACAATATTTCCCCAATGTTAGGGACTTTACTCCCTAACCTCCTCAGTTGGGAGGTAGTTTCTCAGGGAATATGGTACTTACTCTCCTCTATTTGCATTGTAGTGTTCTCATACTCTCCCTATGTGTCAACTATCATGTCATCTTTTAAGTGTCCAAAGTTGCTCATTGTATTGTAAAGTCTTTCTAAATTCCTACCATCTGTTAAGGTCAAGACAATGGGAAGTCTGGCTTGAATTAACAATGGTTTCTAGGAGTCAACCCAAAGTGTTTAGACTAGATTAATTTTACCTCAAGAGCCAGGTGTGTGAGACATCCCCGAGAGTCTTAATTTTGGAGCAGTTAAGTCTCCAGCTGCCTTCTCTAGCACACTCCCTGATGAGCTTGATCAGTCCCAGGGCGAGTTGAAGAGCTGATGAACTCCTAGAACCCGCTTCCTCTGACTCCTTCTTGGTTAATTGCAAGAGGCAGGAGGGAGTTGAAAATGCCTCTTCAAGTAGAAATGCCAAATCTAACTAGAGACTTCTGGGGACTGAACTTAATCTTTAGTGGATTTATAGTATGTCTCAGATGGTGGGGCTATGGAACGTGTATAAATGTCCCAAATCCACTGGAACATTGCATTCCAATTCTGATAGTCCAAATCATTGAACTCTTCATTATCATGATTATAACCTAATGTCCATACCTTCTGGGATTGACATTAAGGTGACTTAGAGTAGCAATATGTTTTAGAAAACTACTCCAAGTGAATATTTTGTTTTTTTAGGGAAGAGTCAAAAGATGACAATAAATGATAATTAAGTAAATCAATCCTCTAGGGAGCTAAGGATTTATCTAAAGAGCAATGCATGGTTGCTACGATGGCATAAGGGAGAGAGAGAGAGAGAGAACTGAAAGCCAAAAAAAAAAAATCCACAAAGGTATAAGAAAGAAGGAAAATATCTTTAAACATTAAATAAACATCACATTTTCAAACTGTCTTAAGATAGGTATATATCTATGAGGCAATCCATTATTTATTATAGTAATAAAATCTACAATTTTTGCCATGTTGTCATGTAGGTGATCCTAACCTTATTGTATGGTGATGTCAAATTATAAATCATTAAAATTTATTATCTTACAATGCATGAAAATTATCATATATTGCATATTTCTGTAACTTAGTAGGAAATTTGCAGATAAGAATATAAGGAACTGAGATGTAGATTCCCTTACTTCTTATGGAATTTGTCTTAGTTTCCTAAATTGTGCTATGTAATAAATGTTCTGGTTTAGAATGAGTGTACTAGGCATTTACCATGAAATCATATATATATATGTATGTATGATTCTGCTGTTTTTTCATGGCATCTTGTGGGAGATACATCGGGGAATTTTATCTGTTAACTTCTTGGAAAATGATAGTGGGAACTGAATTTACCAGATTATTTAAAAATCAGGCCATATGCAGTGATGTTGGTAATTTGGGAGGAAGATAGGCTAATCAGCTGCAGTGAGGTGCTCTGGATCTTTATATTCTCTTAAATTTAGGATCTTACCAGAATGGCCTCAGTTCTAGCCCAGGCCTCCAGAGCCATTAAGGAAATAAGGTTGCTTTCTGAGAGGCTGGAGGGAGCCTCATCACTCCTTGGTGGAAGCTGGTGTCCTTAAGTATCTTAAGGACAGTCATCAGAATCCCAGCTCTGACCTAGGAACACAAAGCATGTTGACCTGGTTGTGAAGAAATAACTTTTAGGCATTTGTCTCCATTTTGACTGACTGTGGCCTCTCTGAGTCCAGGAGGAAGTCATAGGATTTAGCAGTTTTGAGTTACCTGAGATAAGTGGAGTGGTTCTGGGTTGTGTGAGATCAGTGACCACCATTTTCAAAGGCTGTTGCTAAAGCAGCTTTCCCTCACAGTGCGTGTGATGGACCAGAAGAAGCCTCTTCCTCCTGCCCAGTGTACAGCAGGTCAGGGATCTTGCGCAGAGCTCTGCCTGGCCTTTGCAGACACACTGCCAGACTCTCCTCTTCCTCAGATCTCTCCACTCAGCCACCAAGAAATAAGTGCCCAATACAGGTGGAAGACCATTAAGGGGGTTTAAATCCAGTGGCTCAAAATATAACTAACATTCAGAATACTCCCAATCCTTAGACCCCACTCCTCCCTCATGCACCTTGGTCAAAGGGAGTCTGGAGGGACCTGAATCTAAAAAGCTTCTTAGGTGATGCTGATAGACAAACCTGCTTTGGAAACAACTGAATTGAATACATTCCTAAGCTTGCAGTCAGTATTTCTCTCAAAGCATCATGGACTAATTGGCACTGATACAAGGGATGGAGACGTTTTGATCTGTTAAGATAAGTGATTTGGTGGAAAAAACAGAACTGAGAAACTGAGAATTTCTGCAGCTACACGCCTCCCAGGAGACTGGGGCTCAGTGGTAACACCAGTGTCCTCATGTTGTCTTTTGGACCCAGAACCCCTGAACCTGGCCTCAGGGAGTTGGGATCATCTAGTAGACTTTGACCCATAGGGTCAGGGAACCCATAAACTTTCTGAGCTGTCAAAACAGCTGTGAGGCCAGAAAGGTCTCTGATGGAAGGCTGTCACTCTGCACCTTGTGGGGAGTTGGAAATATGTTCCTAGAAATTCCAAGTGAGGCTCGGGTCTCTCACAGGTCATCTGGTTATGTAATACTTGTTTTAATGATTGTTTAAAACTTCAGAAAAATTTTTTTATTATGCTCTGCATAAAAGGGCAGGGGATGATCTATGTTACCGCTTTAAAGTTCTGGATTTCTCTTAGACGTGGACATGTGGTAGCTTTCTTTGTGGACATTGACATTCAGAGCCTGTTGAGTGTTTGTGTGTGTGCATCTTGCTATGCATGTGTGTTTGTGTGTGCATGTGTGCTTATGCACATGTGTGCATGAAAGAGGGAGGGGGAAGGGGCTAGAGAGAAACACAGTGTGGGGAGGCAATTCTAGTACAACTGTGGCTTGATAAAGTTTAGCATGTGTCAGGCCCCGTGAGATGTATGATAGCTCTGTGTAGACCAAATGCAGAAGTGAGGAACAAACAAACGAACAAACAAGCAAAGTGATCAGGCCAGAGCAGGCGCTATGCTGATAGTGGGTGAGGAGGCAGAGAGAACCTTGGGAAGACTGAGAGCTGCAGTCCACAGCTTCCTTTGGTTTGGAATGAGCTTAGGCCCTTGATGAGCACTCAGTGGAATGGACAGGGTATCTGTGCCCTGCAGCCTCTGCATTTGTGGGCAGAATGATATTACAGGTGATCTTTGGGAGACAGCAGGTCCAGAGAACATGGATTCCAGGGCTTTGTTTAGGAGCGTGGACCTGGGCTGGTGGTCCAGTGAGCCTGGGGTCTCTACAGGTGAATCTGCGGAGGGTTAATGGTGCTGGCTGCAGACCTCTGGGACTAGGTAGATGGGAGTTTTCCCAGCTTCTCCATCTAAGTCTTTCTGCAGGGGCCTTGTCACCATAGGCTCTGCCCTCTGGTTGGCCCTGGCAGGAGCCTCTCAAAGCAAAGACCTTGTCACTTGCATTCCCTTATCTAGCAATCTGACTCTTCTTAAAGGGTAACAATGAAAAACCTGCATAAGTGAGCAGCAGGAGAACTGCTCACTCTTTTCTTGTAAAGCACTGCTCAGTAAATTACTTTAAGGTGGGAATTGCAGAAGCTGTTCTGCTGCCTTCCTTAGTTGGTGCGAGAGATGCTAGGCAGTCTCTGAAGGCTCCTTCCAAGCAGAAGAGAGTAGCCATTTGGCTTTTCTTGCCTTTACTGGGTGAATAAGGGGAAAGCAATGTATGGCTTTTGGCTGAGGAGTACAGTTTACCAAGTTGCTGTGTGCCTGCCTTCTCTGAACTCGCCAGGTGGGAAGAGTCAGGAGATATCAGCCTAATTTAGAGGCAGAAAGCAGGCAGTAGCAGCACTCTCTTGCCTGACATATCTGCAGCAAAAATGTGGGGGAAATGCTTTATTTTTTTTTTTCTTTCACCAGCACCTGCCACTTCTTAAAAGCACCATGAAATAAAAGACATCTGTGTCTGAAAGTGCACCTCAGGGGGCCACTGTGGATGTATTTGTTTGTTTTCTAAACCACCGACATTAGAAGTTGAAACTGAGGGCTGGATCAGCCACAGTTGGTGCTTGATGTACAGAGACATGGGAAACCCAATGAGCCAGAACTGTCCCCAGGGGAGACAGGAAGCCTCAGGCATGGCCAAGGTTCTTGCAGTCCTCACTCAGCTTTTTCCGGACTCCTGCTGGGGACACATGGGCCAAGGAGGAAGCTGGATAAAGTAGGGCTAGTCCCAAATGTCTCCAAGGATTTTTCCTTCCTCAGTCTGAGGACTCTTAGGCTGAGTCTTTGTAATGCCAAACTTTTCCAGAGAAAATGGAAAGATAATTCCTAGTAGCCGTCTGTTGGGAAACGGATCAAATTTCATGATTTTATTGAGCAGGTTGCTATTATGTAGATCCAGCTGGGGGGACATTTCCAAGGAAATATTTTCCTTCTTTCTGTTTCAGAAAGCTACACAGTAGAGAAGCAATAGCCTGTGTGATCTTACAGGGTCTGTCCTGTGCCCACTTCCCTCTGGGGTAGCTCTGGGTATCTCTCTCTAGCCCTCTTACCCTTCTGGGAACAATTCCTTAAAAAATTTCTGATAGTTAATGGGTTCCCTTTTTAAACTCTCAATTCCACCTGATTCTCCCATTTGCTTTCCAAAGGATGTGAAAATGTCCCTGAGAATGGCCTTATGGAGAATTCCCACCAACAATCTCCAAAGGAGAAAGCCATGGAGTTCGAGGAAAGTTGTCACAAAGGAGAAAGGAGTTCCAGTCTGAGGGTTAGAGAAACAGCTAAACTGACGTCAGGTTAAGAAACACTACTTTCTCCCCTATGTCTTCTTTCTCTTTGGTGGAGACCCTCATCACAAGCCTGGAACACAGCAGACACTCAATAAATGTTCATTTTTCCTGGCCTTGGTAATTAGAACAGAAGTGTAGCTGCCCATATGAGGAAAATCGAAGGCCAAAGCCACCCTTAATAATGGGGCATTATCCAATGTGTTTCTACTGGGGATTTCCTCAGAGCACAGAATATACTTGCTGATGTTTCAATCCTTATTAGAGCTAGATCTGTCATGGTATATCATGTGTGTGTGTGTGTGCATATATACATATACATATATATATACATATACATATATATGTTTTAATTTTTTATAAATATTTAAATATTTTGATAGAATGAAAACCACAAAATATCATATCTGGGTGAAGAAATACATATACATATATTAAATTTTTTCTCTTTGGCATACTAATTTTATTTCCTTATATATTTATATATTTATATTTCCTTATATATTTCAATATATATACCCCCTACACACATACTTATTTTTTTTGTCTACATAGGAAGATTTTTCCTAGACTTGGAAATGTGTGTGTGTGTGTGTGTGTGTTATACACTTATACATATACTCATGTATGTACAATATGTATGCAAGTCCCACATAGAATTTTGTAATGTGAGGAGGAGTGAGCCCTTGACACGTTCTGTTTTATGAGGAAGAAGCCATCAGCAACACCAAAGGGAAAACCCACCCTGTCCTCTAACCCTGGAACACACAGTGTTACCAGTGTTTGCTGATGGAAGGTGACTGGGAGGGGTGAAAGTGCATGGTTGCTTCTTGTGACTCCTCCATTGAAACACTCTGGCTGGACAGACCTGCCGAGGGGCTCAGCAATGGGAGTGCGCCCTTAACCTGGGTGGCACTTTTGCAGAACCTCACTCCCCACTACCTTCATTCTCCCCAAAATTGTAAGTAAAAGCAGTTTTTGCAGAGCCAGTTTGACTTTTCTTCCACCCTATGTAATTCTCATTTGCCCTCTCCCTTCCATTTTCCAGCCTGGGAGGTAGGGACTGTCTGTCCTATTAAAACAAAGCAGAGAACTATGGCAATTAAAGAGCTAATTTTAGATGCAAACTACTTTTCCGCCATGATCTGGGCATCTCAGGCTAAGATTTTGGAGTTATGATTACCTAGCTAATTTGGAACTGTGATCTCCTTCCAGCGTCTTAGAGCCATGGCCCGCTGCACGCACGGGGCGCCTGGGCCAAGCTAGCCTGGGACCTAGTCCAGCTTGGCACAGTTTACAAAAAGCAAATGTGCGGTCTCTTACCGTCAGTGGTGATTTCGTAGGGGGAGTTGAGCCTGGCGTCCCCGCAGGGGGACGTGCTCACGTAGAGATGGAAGAGGATGTTTTCTCGAAGTCTGTAGCCTCCCTCCTTTAAACGCACGAAGATGGACCGCTCCGAGTCCTCGCGCCTCTTGCTGGGGACACAATGAAGACGCGGGTCATTTACTGCAAACCAAACCCCAAACCTTCCAACCAGGCGAATCATTTTGTTCTGTTTCCTAGAGTTGTTCCCCAGTTTTTCTTTTTTATCCCCTCTACTCAGACCGTGTTTGCCCCTTGCAGGACCAGATTGCAATGAAACCACGTGAAAGCAATCACAGCCAGTGAAGAGCGTGCCATTCTCCCCCTCCCGTAACGTTTACATTTTAGGTTTATCTTTTACAAAGCCAGCAGTTACCATTTATAAAACCGCAATTCTGTGGATTAGCAAACACTCTTCATGGCAGTATCTCGCGGTGGACTGTTGACTGGACAGAGCCTTAGTGGGCCACACTTGTGTGTATTGAAGAGGGAAAGGGACTTTAAAGGTGGAGCTGGGCTTGGGCACCAGAAGGACTAGATGAAAACAGTAAACAGGGCAAATCTGCTTTTTTTTTGCATCCAACTATGATCCAGGGCGAATCTGGAATAAATAAAGCTCCTGAATCTTGAAGGGATAACTGGATCTTTTGCTCCAGGAAACTCTCCCCGTTGCAGCCCTAAAACTCAAACCTAAGGGCTTCCCCTTCCTTGAGGTGGGGAGACCCTGCAGTGGGCATTGAACCAACGTGGCTGCTTTTCCTTGCCCAGATTCTGTTTTCCTTGGTTTCTGGCAGTCTACTTTCTGCTAGTCTTGCTGTTTCTACATATTCTGCCCCACTGGTGATGGATTCTGTGGTGCTGGGTCCTGAGATGTCATCATAGGCGGCAGAACAGACATTGTCTCCCCAGGAAATCTTTGAAGTGCCTAACAGCTCCTTAGCTGCGACCTGCCCTCTCTTTACTCAGGCATACCCCTTGGGGACAATGGAGCCTCCTCCAGAGCTCCATCCGGGTCTCCCAGCTGTGGAGCATGGTTTGCAGTGATGCAAACCTTGCTTCTTCTTGCTGGCATTTGCAGTGCAGGGATGGGGTGCTGTTGTCTTTGAATTCCTCCCAGCAGGAGGCATAGCACTGGGCACACAGCCAGCTTCTGGCAAACATTGGCCTGATTGCCTTCTATGACACAAACAGGAACTAGGGTACTCGGAAATATTTCCGGTTGAGCAGTTGGATATTCCCACATTTTGAGAGGTTTCCAGGTCTGTTCCCCTACGTTCAGCCTGTCGGCAGGACTCCTGGAACTGATGTGGCAATATATCAGGCTGCTGCCTGCCGCTCAGAGGCTCAGATAAAAATTAATTGAGTGTATTAAGGTATTGCTTTTATCTGAGTCTGTTTGGCATATATTTGGGCCTTTCTTCCCTTTGTGTGGCTTCTGCACATGCTAATGGGCCTGAATGAGTCACTCACTAAAGTCCCCCCTGAGATTCCACTTTTAGTGAATTTGAAGAATACCACTTAGAAGGATAAGAAAAGGCAGCTGGAAGATGCAAGGCAGGAACGTTCTGGCAAAGAGACCCACAGCAATCAAAGCACTGTGACTAAATAGCTCAGTCCAGGAATGCATCGGAGACGTCATACACTCAAATCCACCTGCGTTTCTGCTCATGTCTTAGACAGGGATGTCAGCCCATCTGTGACAGTCTGCCTCTTCCTGCCATGAGAACACTGGAAATTCCACTGTTGGAGCACATTTCTTAGGGTCTGAATGGCCTTATTAAAATGCATCTGCAGGTGGGGCCAGGAAACAGGCAACACCACAAAACCCTCACTGCCACTTTAGTTACCTTCCCTGAAGACAAGGTCTAGTGATTGCAACATATTTGGGAATGTGGAGGTGTGGGGAGAACTGAAGTCAGGACAGGGTGACCTCCCCAAGGAGGATGAGGGCTGGAAGGTACTAAGCACCAATGTCAAAGTGGTCACTGTGTCATTTGCAAGAGCTACTTGCCTGGGACTTCTCCAGTGGAAACTGAGCCTGTTAACTGCAGATGGAGGACTGGGGACAAGAAGTAAAATGGCAGCCTGTCTATGAGCCTGGCATTTGAGAGATGGCCCTGGTCAGTCTTGCAGAAATCCTGAGTTCTATAAGAAATTTCCTTGGATGAGAAATTCTGAAACAAGGCTGATAAGGAAAGAAGGACTCCTTCTCTTCTGCAGAAATGCTGATCTGTGGGCCACATCTGAAGTGGACACAATTTGCTAAAATTGAGCAGAGATGTCAACTTCGACCTGACACCTTTCCAGGGATGAAATGAAAGTTTACTAGGAAGCAAGTGCATTGATCTAAGTCACCCTGCCTTATAACTGAACACACTTTTGATTCAATCAACACAATGTTTTCCCTCCTTCCTTCCTTCCTTCCTTTCTTCCTCCCTCCCTCCCTCCCTCCCTCCTTCCTTCCTCCTTTTCTTCCTTCCTCCCTCCTTTCCTTCCTTTCTCCCTTCCTTTCTTCCTTCCTGCCTCTCTTGCTCCCTCCCTCTTTCTTCCTCCTCTCTTCCCTGCTCCCTCTCTTCTCTCCTCCTCCCTTGCTGGACCTGGGTTTAATAACTGGAGGACTGTGGTGAGAATAATACTGCCTTTATTTAGACCCACAGTGAAGGTACCAAAACTGGGTGGCTATTTCCTTTTGGGGAGTTCCTCTGTGTTCTTGGCCTTGGGGCTGGATTGTCTCCTGGTTCCACTGGCGTTTGGAGTTTGAGTAGCTAGCTGACTGGAGAAATACCTTGTTGAGCGTGGATGGCACTTAAAATCCAGGCTGGCTGGGCCCTGTGGTTTCCTTGACTCTAGAGGCACCTGAGCCTCGTGAGGAAGCTTTTGTTTGTGGGATGTGGTAGTGAACCCTGAATGTTTTAACTGAAAGAATAAATGGAATGAACTGTGACAGGGCATGTCCCAGGGTGCGCGCATATGTGCAGGCATCTGTGTGGAGGTGTGTGTGTATTTACCCATAGGCAAATAGGGTGTTTCCTGGAGAGAGACATTGGATACTGAGGAAGATACCTGGTATTTCAACATTTTACTGGTCTGTGTAGTGCTCAAGGAAGCCTCAAATCTGAATAAAAATAGATGCTTATGGCACATAGCCATATGCTCACCCTATGTAGGAAATCAAGTGGGGATGAGGGTCTCTCTTCTGTTCAGTGGCTGCTGACCAGCCTAGGTGTGTCAACAAACCCATCAAGGAGCTGCAATCCCTGGGAGACCATGCAGCCCACGCCAGGGGCCCATTTACCTTAGGTGCAGTTCCAGTTGTGCGTAGAGGAAGTGAAGAAATGCTCTCCTGGCCACAATCTCAGCATGGCAGTCATTGACCACCAGTCCCTGGTCACTGATGTGCTCACCGCTGATGCACTTGGTCCCCGAGGACAGGACGATGACCTGTGCCTGCCTGGTATCCAAGCCTAGGGGACATAGAGGATGGTCATAACAGCTTGGATTTCACAAACCCCATTCCATGGCTGGGAGACCCACTGCATGTATCCTTGTCAACTCTCCCATATACACCAGCCTTGAGGTTCAGCAGGCTGACATGCACAATGCAGTTTGCTATGTTTGTTGTGGGATTTGTGAAAGTCATGCAAAGTACTGCTTGTAGAATCTCCCCTTGTTTGTGGTATGCCTTTTATGCTGTACCCTGGAAGGCAGCTGGGCCAACAACTGTCATTCTGAGACCTCTGTTGACTTCTCTAGACCAAGATCAGCATGCTGACTCTTGAGTTTTGCCCCCTTAGCTATATCTGACGAGCTGATTATTTATCTGATGAGTAATTGGGAGTTTGTATTTTCCCCACCTTTGTGCAGGAGGCTTGGAAAAGATGGGCATAATACAGATGGGGTGGTAGCCTGCCACCAAAGAATTGACATAGGGCTAGAGCCCAGTTCAGCCTTGGAGGAGGAGGAACTGGACAGCTGTAGGATTTCCTGCTGAGATCCTAAAGGGGAAGAGGAAGGGCCTTTAGCTGCCCCAGAAGTTCTGCCACCTGCCCACGTCCTCCAAGTTAATGGTTGCATCTTCATTGAAAGATTGGCTGATGGAAAGTGTTATACATAGGTGAAAGCAAAAGAAGGGCTCCCCAAGCCTGGGTCTGCCCTGTAGACCTAGCTGTATTTTTCATGGAGGTGCAACCCAAATTATGGGGAGAGATATTTGTGCACACATGGGGCCTACACACACTCCTTCACCTTCCCTCAGCACAAAGAAACCAGGTAAACAGCTTAATCCAGGTGGCCTTCCATTCCAAATACATGTTTCATGGGGCATACTCCTGCATGGTGTGGGGACACCTGCCATTCATGTGTCACCTGCAGGGTTTGCTCTGCAGTTCAAGCCAATATTTATAAGTCAAGGCCCAGTGGTTTGGAAGGTCAGGGGTATGAGTGTCACACACGGCAATCTGTGCCTTATAGCACTGGTTGGAAGCCGAATATGACTGTGGAAGCTGCTGCTCAGGCTGCAGAGGGGGGAAAGCCTGTGAAGAGGTGGCAGGGCCAACCTCTAAACATGTTCCCTTCCTGAGTCACATTTCACATGCTGGTACTGGGGCCTGTGGAGGGGTGTCTGATGGTTGCAGCGCCTTTTCCACTTCTTCCTGTTCAGGGGTAGCTATCTCACCAGCAGTGAGCGATCAGCACAGGTAGATTGAGTGCTTATGGGTATATAACCATTTGCACACCAAGCCCATGCTGTTGGCCACAGCCTTGGGCAGGAACTTTGTGTTGTGCTCACAGTAATTGCTCAGGGTCTAGACTTGGCCATGGCTTTGTTCCTGGGCTGTGTTTTAGGAGCAACATAACTCTGTGATGAATTTTGTACTTCCTGAAACTTATATCTAAGAATGATATGCAAATCATTATTAGCAATGAAAGTGAATGAAATTTCAAATTCAATGTCACCAGGCTTTCCATTGCCCCTGTGCACCAGAGGATGGATGGGAGGTAGCAAGTAATGACACTGTTTCTCTTTCAGCACTTTACATGTCTGAGAGGCCACAGCTCCTTCCCACCTTCATGGAATGTACAGAGCGAGTAGCCTAGAGTCAATTCCCTCCTTCCTGATCTTTCTAGAAGGTCTCACAGGAGCTGGTCCATAGGGCTTAGAAAACTTGAAAATCATATATTTTCATGGGTTGATTTCTAGAACTGTGAAACTGGACTTTTGTTTGCTTCTGGCCATATGTGACCAACTGAACGAGTTCTAACAAGTCTATTAGGCTGGCAAGAGACAAACTTGCAAAATATCTTAAGTTATCATTATTGCTATTATTTAAATGTCTTTTATTCACAGCAAGAACAGAGACTTTTGAGGTCAGATTTACTAATGGGGCAATTTTTAGGGTTCTCTGGATCCCAGGTCCCAATCATAAAATGACAGCAGTACCAGCTACTGCTTAGAGATTCCCTATCTGTCCCCTCTAACTGGTCTGAGGTTTTACCTTTTCTCTTGTTAGGATCAACTTTCAGGACAGGAGTTGGATAGATTGTTTTTATTAACATGAAAAAGCATTGGATGCTCCATGGTTTACTTTTCACAAGGTTAAGTTTCATTTTGGTCATAGTTAAAAGAATCTTGTTAGTAAAAATGGTTCTTTGCAATACTAGAAATCAAACAAAACAAAGAAAACTTCAAAAACATCCTCCAGACTTAACTATTTAAAAATATGATAACAATCGCTTTGTTTGAGGAGATCCTAGAAGACTACAAATCAAAGCTTATTCTTTTTCCTGCTCTCATGAATCCATAAGTACACACGTATTTTCTCTTTACTTAGATGGTGAATTCCTTGAGGGCAGGAACCAGAATTTTCCCAAACTATTCTAATAAGGGACTCCCTAGGAGTCTGTGTAATTAGACGTACTGCCTGGGACAATCCAGTCTGTGTTGCTGACAAAAACAAATCCAATTTTCTAGATTTTGTAACTGAAAGTCAAGGGGATACCTTGTTACATATTTTAGTAAGCTACTGTTTGAAGGATTTTGGATTCTGTGGTCAGTAAAGAGGATGGTTTAGCAGCTGATCATATCCCACTCTCTTGCATTCTCTGGTAAATCAATCATTTCTTTGAAGAGACAAAATGCAAATTGAGGGCATAGCAAAACAGACTTTCAATTTTTAATAAGATTTGCTTCCCCAAATGTAAATGATGCTGGGCACATCCTAATTATTTTATATGTACTTGTTCTCCTATCTTGAAATTTTCTCCCTTGAAAACTTAACTTTGAGCCCAAGTATCAACTGGCCCTTCTTGCTTCCCCCTTTCTTCCCAGTTTGGATCTTTTTTTGGATATTAAAAAGGGGAGCAGAGAGGGAAAAAAGGGAGAAATATGCAGCTATAAGAGAGACCAGATGGAAGACTGAGGAATGAAGGAAGGGAACAATGGATGCAAACCTTCCATATGCATTCACTGGGCCTCCTCAGCTGCTAGCCACACTGCCTCCTCTTCTGTTCCAAAAAGCCCCAGCAGCTGGGCTTCCTGACTTCTTCTTCACAGTGCTGTCCCCTCCCCCCTCACTTCCATCGCTTTCCTCTGACTTCTCTTGGTGATTTCAACTTCTGAAAAAAACTTAGAAGTCCTGGTCATGCTGTCCTTACACTAACCCCCAGTGGTGGAATTTGGCTTCTTGGTGGTCACAGAGAACAACTGGACATGTTTAGCCACCATGTCAGCCACTATACCACTTTGATAAAAGAAAAAATAGCATACAACCAAGCTTTTTGTATTTTATTTCCTTAGGAGAAGCTTAAAACAACTACAAATGCAGCTGTCACCCTTTCCTGGGGTCTGGCATCTCATGGATCAACAGTTCTCTGGTAGGCTGCCTTCTAGTTGGGGGGTCCCAGAGGTAGAGTTAGCAATCATTTGTCAGCAGGAGCTAAAGCTACAGGAAGGAAGGCAAGCCAGCTGCTCACTCACCTCTCCCATGGTCCCCAGGAGCCATTTTCTACCTGAAATAGTTAACTTGACCCATGGGTTGTTGAGAAATACTCAGTGAGGCTGCCTTATTGATGGAGAAAACATATCCCAGATTCCAGCTTTAAAGTAGGCATTTAGAGTAATAGAAACTAACATTTGTAATAATATCTTGCCGTATTCCAGTATTCAGATGGCTGGTGCACATGTAGTGTAACCTAGACAACTCTGAAAGGGTGGCTACTGTGGCTTCTGAACCCCCTGACCTGATTCTCCTTTGGAGAATTTCCTGTGGAAATTAGAGCTGTAGACAAAAGGGAAACTGCTTTCTCTTCATCCCTCATTAATTCTCAACTCTGCTTGACTCCAGGCTCTGCTATATTCTGTAAATTATGTGGCTCAAGAAATGCATTATTTGCTTATTCCATTTTCATCAATCCTCCCTCCTATGGGCCAGCACCATGCTCAGTAACATAGGGGACATAAGACACAGTCCTGCCCTTTAGCATGTGTTTAGGGAAACAATGCAAAGACAGAGTGTCTTCAAAATAAAATGTTGTATGATAAATAGCTCATATGTACTTCACAAAGAATGTCACTAGAATGACAGAGAGAGAGAGAGAGAGAGAGAGAGAGAGAGAGAGAGAGAGAGAGAGATTGACTTATATTTAGGAAGCTTTTGGTGTATGGCCATGTGGTATAGGAGGTATGCCAGGTAGAAGGTACACAATGGCCAAAGGTGTGGACAGAGGAAGATGCAGGCGCATTTTTGGGAGACAATGATAAGCCTATTTTGGTACCAGTGGGAAATTTGTATAGGGAAGTGATGGGTTTGAAGCTTAAATTTCAGGTGGCAATTGAATACAGAATCTTGAATGCCACCCTGAAGATATTAAATCTTACATACTAGACAATGGAGACTTGTTGAAGAACTTTTTGAGCAGGACAGAGACATTGTTGTCGTATGTGAGTGCAGCATGGAGGGACTGGATGAGCAGAGAGAGAAGGTTGGGATAACAGGTGGGAGGCCACTGCAACAGTTTACAGTCTGGACATTGTACAGTGAGGACTTGGGAAACACCAGCAGGCCTGGACAAGTGTGTGTGTGGGGTGGATTCAGAGAGAAGACTATGATGAATGAATCAATAAGACTGGGAAATTAAAAGAGAGGATGGGGAAAGGTAGAAGTCAAAACATATGCTCGAGAATTACATATTAAAAAATAAAACTATAAATGTTGCTATGAGGAACAGCCAAATTCAAGGCTGGCAGTCTTAATTTGGAGAAGAGGAGAGGTCAGAAGTTTTGTCATTATTTCTCCCCTGAAAGCTCACAGAGAGTGACTCAATGGCATCATCAGTTTTATGAGTTGGAAAATGGAGCTGAATCGCAACTGAAAAATACAAGCCAAAAAATTAAAAAAGATTAGGAACAAAATCTTCATTAACTAGCATTTAACTGGACAATTGTTTTCTTAACCTTCCTGTCTAG